AGTATACACTGTTTTTAAAAAGGATTATTTAAAGACATCATTACTGAAACGTGTATGCAGGGACAATGTCCCCGAAGTAGTTGAACACCAAAAGTATGATTTGAGGACTTAGAAAAAAAAATTCAGGATTTCATTGATAATGTGAAAAATAATCAAACTAATAAGGAAACCATTTTATTTTGCATTTATATGCAAATGGTTATACTATAACTTAGTTATTGTTCTAAAATAACAGTCGTACAAACAATCGATATATCGAACTATCGATATATCGATCTATCGAACTTCGATATATATCGAAAAATCGATTTATCGAACTTCGATATATATCGATATATCGAACTTCGATATATATCGATTTATCGAACTTCGATATATATCGATTTATCGAACTTCGATATATATCGATATATCGAACTTCGATATATATCGAAATATCAATATATCGATCTATCGAACTTCGATATATATCGAACTTTCGATATATCGAACTATTAAACTATCGATATATCGATCTATCGAACTATCGATATATCGAACTAATTTAATATTATTTTATAATGTATAATTATATTTTTATATTTAATTTATAATATTATTTTATAATAATAATAAAAATAAAACATTTAATAAAAAAAAAAAATAAAATTAAAATATATTAAAAAATATATAATATATATAATTTGTATTTATTTAATATATATTTATTATAAATTATGTTTCTATAATTATATTATTATCTAAATATAATATTTAATTTATAATTATTATTAAATAATATAATATGGTTATAATATATACATTTAAAATATTAGAATTATATAAAAAATTAAGATATATTAGTTATTTATTATAGGTATTATTATAGATTTTTATTATATTTATTATATATTATCATAGAATATTATTATATATAGATATATTAGTTATTATAATTATAATTATATAATAATATAATTATTTAATTATTATTTTATTATTAATAATATATATATATAATATATAATTTGTATTTTGTTATTTAATTTATATTTATTATATATATTTATAAAAATAATACAAATAAAAAACAATAGAACATTTGTTTAAAAAGAAAAAAAGAAAAACACCAATACTATTACCACGTATATACAATTGCAATAATACTTGAAGGGAAAAAACTTGACAATAATATTTTATGATGACAATGATGACGATGACGACAACACACGAATAGGAATATAGTCACGGACAAATACTTACGCGGACACGCATAGTTTAATATTTCTTTTCCCCCTTTTCGAAACGTATTCATTACTTATGTCCACACCCGGTACATTTCTGTCTATCCCTTCGACGATCCATGATCATTCTCGCAAGCTAATGCACACCGTGGCCAAATGTTCAAACCGATTTAAATGCCGAAGGTAGTTAACTACCCCGTATATTGTACTTAACACCCTCCGAACACATTACTCTTGGTATGACCATCTCATGCACTTCAATCATGCAACCTACTGCTTGTTAACTAACGTTTTATTACATTTAGTAATCGTAGAGTTGTTTGTAAATCGTCCTTCGATATTTAAGTCAATTGTCTGGAAAGTTTCTAACAATTTATATATATATATATATTTATTCTTCAAATATTTTAAGTATTTATAATATTGATCATTGATGTATTTTTTGATAATTAACCTTCCAAATATTTCATTGTTTTTTTATATTATTTTTATATTATATTATAAGTTAACTATGAGAAACAAAAAATTAATAAAAAAAAATATTATTTCTAATTTTTAATAAAACCTTTAACTTTAGTTATATATTACAAAAGTTGGAAAATTTTTAAATAAAATATAGAAAAAATAAAAAATAAAAGACCTCGATCAGACGTGATCTAACAAATCGCATTTTCAAGAGTTCTCGTATCCAATTTGTAAGATATATGATCTGATCTAACTGCGTAACTTCCCTTAGAATACTCAGGGCACCCCATAAATACTAGAAAACCACATAAACTAACCATCCTGAGTGGGCTATGGCGATTCGTTCTATCCATCTTTCTCATTCTTTCTTTCTCTTTTATAAAAGGGATGTTGTTTCGACCCTTTTCTAGATATATCTATCTATRTATATATACGAAGATAGAAATGCGTCTTCGTAAAAGGACAAAAGTTATTTACCCCCGTCGTATAAAACGTGTACGAAACGGACTACGCCCAATACGAGAGAAGGGTGACCGTATATACACTCGAAGGGTTGTGACAGTATCCAAAAGCTACCCTTGATTCGCCTAAATAGAGACCATTCTTGACGATAGATTACAACTTAAGTGTTTAGATGCTTCATCGTTAAGTGCTTCCTTCATTCTTTTATCTATACACACACACACACCCACACACATACACACACATACACGTATCCTTTATTTTATTCCTATTCATTTACGTTTATCTTCATTTCTTATTCGTTCATTATTATATTTTATTTTCAAATAAATATTATCGTTGTTCTATTACCAATACAAAATAAAAATTAATTATTAAATTACAATATATATTATAATATATAATAAATATATATATAATATGGTGTTAATATAATATTGTCAAATTTGTTTGGTCTATCCAGATGTGACAATAAATTCAGGATTTTTTTTGGAAAATGAATTGAGTTACGTCTAATTTCAAAATAAACTGTTCATATGTATTTTTTTTCTTTAAATACAAATATTTAGAAGATAAAAAAATAAAACTGTTCTTTTTTAAGAAAGAAATTTGTATTGTTCACATTACGATTAAAAAAAAAAAAAAGAAAAAAGAATGGAAGCTGTACCGTAACGTTACCTTCAAGGTTCGTCGAACAAACTACAAAAGTTTGCTTAAAAAAAAAAAAACCCCTTAAAAAAATAGAATGCATAGTTAGGAGGATACTTTAAAAAAAAAAAAAAAAAAAAAAGAGAGAAAGGCAAAAAAAAAATGTCTACATAAATAGGGATGATGACATTTGTAATCTCTCGCATAGGACATAGATCAACGATGTTTTTGCTCGAATGAAAGGGGCGGCGACCTTTTACAAGAATAGTCGATGTTGAATTCGAATTTAATTATTATTAATTGTCATCTCTCGTAATATATTCGGCCCTGATGGACAAAAGGGAAGCCCCGTTGTTTTATGTCTCTTCAGAAATTCTTCTATTTATTATTAATTATCTCGCGATCACTATAATCTTATATATTAATTATTTATATTACATATAATAATATCTTTTGTGATCAAAAGATAATAAAAAAATAAGAGATAAATAAAAATAAAAAAAATTACAAAACTGTGAATAATTGTATGAAAATATCAGACAAATTACAACAGCAAAATTCAATAACACAATGGAACTACTACTACGACGATTTATACGATATAATAATTTAATATTTACTTTATGAATAAATGAATTAACAATACAATAGCATTTCAAACTGCAATTAAGAAAATGAAGGAAATAAATTATCTATAAATTTAGATTCACATTATAATATTAATATCACAATCGATGAAACAGGTTACTTTCCCCCCCCAAAAAAAAATATATGCTATTAACAAAATTAATTGTAATTATTTTTATATATAAAATTATTACGTAAATATATAAATGAAATTATATATTATTATATTTTAATATTATTAAAAGAGGATAGAAACTATCGTATCCCATGAATCAATCATACGTGAATATTTTTTTTTCCCTAATAAATAAAAACAGATATATAAAACATATATGTACCAGCATACATATATATATATATAATACGTTAAGTATATCACATCTAAAAGGGTGATAACACAATTTCCTTGCATAAAAGTCAATCTAAGTCCCCCTTTTTCTATTTTATCGGAAATATGATTTTCAATCGATCGTTGCATCGTAAAAAGTGCATGGGGACTTTTAATCAATCGAACCGATACACACGAGCAACCACCACCACGTTCCACTAAATTCGATCAAGCAAATCACTCTCGTTGAATTACCTAAACCCACGATCCCCTAAATCATACATCTATCCTTCTTCTTCCACATATCCATCATGAGAATCCTTCCTAATACGAATGTACGAACTAACGTGTACAAATTCACGAATATATCCATTACAAAATAACCATTCCCATCTCCCCAAACGCGTTGTCGATCAATTCGATATATTTTGATTTGTCACAGTAGTATCGAACGAAAGTACCAACGTTACAGTTTCTATCGAACCTAAAACCCACCCTCTCTTATTATTGTCTCACCCTCTTATGCACTTTATGAATCACGTTAGATATTATCCAGATTTATAAGTTAAACTATCTATGAGAAAGATAGATAAAGGAACAAACATGTATATTGTATATTATTATATTATGTAAATGATCAAGATAATATGATTATGATTTTACATCAGGAGTATGTCATGTATGAAAAAAAAAATAATGTATTAGTAATGAATTATGTAAAATAATAAAAAATATTTATAATATAATGCACTCTTGTGGAAGAATCAATAATAAATTTAAAATGTCTCAAAAAAATATATTAGGGTGAATGAAAAATTGATGAATTTATTCTGTTATGTAAACTGCATAATGGATTGCTTTTTTGTACAATTAATTTTGGAAATATTACTAAAAAAAAAAATACTACAGAATTTTGGTTCCTAATCCTAATAATTTATCTCTAATTTAATTATTTTATAATAAATGAAGTAAAATAATATCTTACAAAAAACAAACAAAAATTGTATTAATTTTTATTTTTCAGAGATCTTACTAAAAACACAAAGTACAAATAAACAAAATATTATTATTTTTCATTAATTAGCAACGCACCTGAATAAAAAAGATTCAAATCGTACGAGTATTTTTTGTTTACTTATCTTTATAATATCTTGTATTTCTTTTTAAACGAAAATCAGAAAAAGATACACGAGTATTGACCTAAGATATATTTTTTTCTTCGCGTTGTCTTTTTATCCTTTTTTTTCTTTTTTTTTCTTCTATTTAGGTTCACAAAACGCACACTTGCAGAAACGTTTTTAATTCCCACGCATATTTTCTCGCTCAATGTAACGTTTTGCGCCATTAGAGTAGACATATTTACGAAGTTGGTTGGCTTGTTTGCACAGCAAAGTGCCAGTAATTTTTCCTTAAATCGTAATTTTAGCGAAGGGAGGGGGTTAGATGGTTGGAAACAACCCCTTTTATATTACTCGCCCATTACGCAGTCCGCATTTCCACTTCGTTGAGATAACAATCTCATCCTGAACAAACATAAGACGATTTTTTCTTCATTTCTTACATTGATAACGCATAGTTAAATTTTTTAAAAAGCATATATGACTTGCGCAGTGTATAAGACGGTACTAAAACCATAATATGAAAATTGTTTATCAATAAGGTTGTGCTTAAGCAACAAAAATTTGAAATACTTATATTTATTATATAAAAAAAAAAAAAAAAAACAGGATGATCGATAACTGATCGTCTACTTGATCTAAAATGCCCGTAGAGTTTTTCCGATATGTCCGTAGGGTATTTAGGAAAAGTTCGTAGGGCCGTTATAACAGCCCCTAATTTCTAATTATTTCTAATTAATAAATTTATTTTTACCTAATATAATAAACTTTTGAATTATTATTTGAAATGTGATTACACGAATGCCGCCGCATTGATGAAAATCGTTGCAATATAATAGAACTGATCTAACGACGTCGTTTAAAATGAAATGATATTTCAGTTGACGGTCATTTTGTCGCAAATTTTATCTATTAATTCATAGTTATAGCGTACGTAGAAATCCAGTTTAAACAATTTTAATAACTTACAGTTCTATCTCTTTCTGTTTTCATATAACATGCTTGGTAGTCGCGTAGTTATGGCTGTCGTAAAACACTTTACAACTTCGCTGATAAAAAAAAGAAGAAAAAAAGAAGAAAATAAATAAAAAGAAAAAGAAATAGAAAAAAAAACTTTTGTTAGACTGCAGCAACAAGGATCAATAATTGATGATGCTTTCTGGTTGGCCAATATCAAGCCAATAGTCGCTCGTTTTGCAAAGAAAGGGTGTGAGCTGACGGATTCTGCGTAGTTTATATATACTCCTGATTGGTTGAACTTTCACCTAAGGGGCTGAAACATTTAGTTACAATGAAGAAACGTTTCAGAAAAAAAATGGACGACAATATAAAAACCCTTACGTCGGCTAAATTCAACAATGATTTTTCTATGCTTTTGTTCTTTTTTTTCTCTCTCTCTTTTACTTCTTCCTAAAGTAAAGTGGAATTTATTTTATTTAATCATTATTATCATTATTATTAACATATTTTTCTTTAAGAGTAAATGGATTGTATTTTACAGTACTTTCTTGTTTTGTTTTTCTTTTTAGAAATGATCGAACTTTTATGCATGTTATAAAGATTCTAAATGTTTTTATTCGTGTTAAACTAAAATTGTTTAATGTGTTGTATGAATTTTTTAATGTATTGCACGAATTGTTTAAATAATATATCGGTTCTATAATTTGTTGTAAAAATAAATCTGTAATTATAAATAACGACGTGTTTTTAATCTGCGATTTTTTACTCGGAAATATTTTTCATTTACTTTAGGTATCCCCTTTAGTTATTTGTTATAATTTATTTATATATATTTAGATATACCCTTTAGTTATTTATTATAATTTATTTATATATATTTATTATAATTTCGGGATTTATTATATTTAGAATTAGAAATGCATGACATCTTTATTCATTTAATTTATTCGGTTCACGAGTTGTCTAGTTTTATCTGCTTTTTCTGATCATTGGTTGTTTTCGTTAAACAATTTTTTTAAAAATTGTTGTCTTCATTTTTAATGGGAATTTTCCCTTTTCCCTTTTCCCTTTTCCCTTTTAGTCGCCTTTTACGACAAGCAGGGATTACTGCGGTTTATTCTTATCCCCCAAATCCGCAGGGGGCTTATTATTACTCTAATTAATATTATTACAATGTTATTTCTATTATTATTGTTGTAATTAATTATTTTTTGATACAATATACACATAGATTATTGTAACACAAAAAATTATATTCGTTGATGTTATAAAAATGATGAGATAAATTATTATTATTATTATTATTATTCTTAATATGTTCACGACTAGTTTTCTATCTTAATCGATAATTGAAAAATGCATTAATTAAACAAATAGTGATAGTCAAATTTATTGATATTTTTTATGTTTATAATTTTTTCTTTTATTATTATTATTATTATCATCACATGATTTTCGTTATAATAAAATATAATACTATGCATGCAATATTTAAACTCAATGATTATATCGTTTCAGTACATACAAACTGTTTTATCATATACAATTATTTTTTTTAAATAAAGAAATTAATTACAAAATGGGAAAATTCAAAATAGTTTCAAAGAAAAGATTGGCATTGAGAAAAAAAAAGGGATGATGATCGATTAAAATGTTTTCCTTAAGTTTTATTATCAGATATAATTCCTTATACATTTATAATCTTCCATAAACTTTTACAAATGCAATGAGAATCATGACTATATATATATATCCAAATATTTTTATCTAGAATGATCATTACTTATATTAATTGTTTCTATTTAATAGCTACTTTAATTTTTCTTCTATACATTTCGTATAAATAAAATCGAAAAAATTTAGCAAATTTCTGTCAACGATTTTAAACGTACTGACCAAATAATGCGAATATGCATAAAAAAAAAAAAAAAAAAAAAAAAAGGGAGAGAGAGAGAGAGAGAAAAAAAAAACTCGTTACAGCAGATTATATAAAATTCGTAATAAAATTGCGTTGTTTGCTGAAACAAGTTTTCCTTTCTTAATTTTATTTTTATTTTTTACATTAAATTAATTATCAAATTAGTAAATGCGAAATGGTACTTTTTTTAATTGATTTGAAAAAAATTTCTAAATTTATGAATAATATTTTTACCTTATTTTAAAATAATAAAATATTATATATCCACTCATAAAACTACGTCATGTAAAAGTGTTACAAAATCTCGTATAAAGATTTTTTTTTGTAATAAAGTACATTGTATATTAAGAAATAAATGTAGAAAGAAAGAGACAGAAAGGGAGAGAGATAGAGAGACAGAGAGAGAGAGAGAGAGGAAGAGAGAGAGAGAGAGGAAGAGAGAGAGAGAAATGAAGACAGAAAAAGTAAACAAAATAAGATTTTAATTTAAAAAAAAAAAAAAAGAAAGAAACAGTGTGTAAAGACATGTGTGCGCGTAGCGCAAAACGCTGCGTTGTTTTGTTATTTCTTTTGTTTCAACGATAAACAGTAAAAAAATATATATTATACATAACAATTTTAAATATAGATTAAGAACGAGTTGAAAATTATTAAGAACAGTAAGTGCTAATGTACAATATATTATGTTTGCATTAATTAAATTTCAAAATAAAATAATATATATGTATATATATATATATATATATAAATGTATTTATACTTTTCTTTTTTCATTATTATAATTATTATTATTATTGATTATTAATATTATAATTATGAAAATGAAAAATATTTAAAAATAAACATATACATATGTATATGTACGTAAACGTACATAATTATATTAAACCAATAGCTTTGAAATCGCTAAATTCTTCAAGAAAAATCTCAAGTTCTGAATTATTCGTAATTAGACAAATGATTTGTCCATTTGATTTGAATGATAATGTGATCAATCTGATCAATGAAATGATGCATTTATTATACAGATGTCAAGTAAAATCATAGTTGGTGAATACGAACAGTGAGCAATACGAACACCAACTCAATAACATTCTTACAGATTCGTCGTCACACATTCACTATTAGCTCTGTTTTAGACTATTAACTATATACCATTAATAAAACTTTTTAGCCTGTAATTCTTTGTTTTCCCTGTAAAATATAATAAAATGTTAATTATTTATATAAGAATAATGTAATATTAAATAAAGATAAATTTTATATGGATATTATTATACCGGTATAAACTATACGCTAGCAATATTATCATTTGTAGACCCACGAAGATAAGGAACATCATGGTTGTTAAACAATTAGATGGACAATCTCCTAATTTTGAATTAATTTGTGCAATATCTTTCGATAATACATTAAATTTGTCCCGCATTTCGACTATGATAGCTTGATAGTCATAACCCATTGGTTTTACCTATAAATAATTTTATAACACAATATATATATCATTGTAATTATTGTATAAACCATGCAAACATATACATATAAAAATATTATTAAGTATATATATATATATATGTATATAATTACTTGAGCTGTAGGATTACGAGCTTGATTACTCAAAATGGTTTCCGTTTTGCTACTAACATCACCTATAAATGATTTAATTTCTTGAGCAGCGTTAATTAAAACATTTTGATTTTTCAAAACAGCATCAACTTCTTGTCGACGAATGGTATCTATTAACTGTATTGGTTGTCCCTGTCCTTGTACTTGTCCTACAACTCCTACAATAATTAATACACTTTATGATTATATCTATTAAAGATTATTATAACAAATAGAAAATAAAGTATTCAATTAAAACGTACCACCCACTTGAACTTGAGAAATCAAACTTAATGTTCTTTCTTGTCGTCCAATAACTTCATCCAACTTTTTGCCAAGTTCTTTTAATACATTGAACATTTGACTTTGACCACCAAAAATCTGTCTCAATTCTCTCTGATTATCCGTTTCAAAATATTCTTCGAATTCATCCTTATCTCTACGTTCATCCGGATGTTCTCTGAGAATTAACATTTTTTTAAAAAAGGAATTCTATTTATTTATAATAGATGTCAGTGATTCCCAAAGTGGACGCTACCGTCCCCTTGTGGGGACGACTGCAACGAATCACTGCAATATATGAACAAATCATTGATCAAATAATTATACAATAATACCTGTGATACTCTTCTTTTTGTTGTTCTAATTTCTTTTGATAATCTTGGTATTCTTGACTTAATTTAATTTGATCTTCCGCAGAAACTTGATAACCATCAGTAGGTAATTGACCAGGCCGATGCAAGGATGTCGTTAAGAAGTGTATAACGTCATGATCATCAGCCAAACCACCTTTGAATAAATAGAATTATATACTAGTAAATATATCATACAATTCAACGAAAGATAATAATAATAATAATACTAATATCAACCTGTTGCAGCTGATATACCAAAATACCCTTGTTTTGGTAAAAATACATTTTCTGCACGGAAACAAGTTTCATAGTCTTGTTCGTTGTTTGTCATACCACTATGAAAAAGTAACTGTAAAAAAAAAAACATAAAATTATAAGAAGACATACACACACATACATTTTTTAAATAACTAATAATAAATAATATATAAACATCAAAGAATTAAGAGAATTTAACTATTACACACCGTTAACACATTCTGATAATATTCTATTCTTGCACGTGTAGCATAAGGTTTGTTGCGAAAGTCTCTCAGACAACCCGATAACAACTGTGTTGTACCATCACTTATGTTTGAGAACAAAGTAAATTGAATTAAAATTATAAACATTTGTGGTTATTATATTATACTTATATTATGGAGTGGTCTAACTTACTTGGAATGATCAAAAATTTTGGTACCATCATTAAGGACAGCCATAATATATGGATTGTTGTGTTTATTGTCGTTGTCAAAAGAATCAAAGAAGACTCCAAGACCATTCCATTGATCAGAACTACCAAAAACAGTACCATTGTAGGCACCTTTTGAACTGGTATACCAGAATGCTAAACCATCTGCACCAATTCGACCACGACCAGTGATTCTGAACATTATGTCAACTTCCCACCAATCAAAATTAATTGGATTCTTGACCCATATTGCACCTAAATCCAATATAAAGTTAATAATAAATCACACAATTATACAATAAAAATAATTCATTATGGTAAGTTGTTAAGACATACCTTTTTGACTCCGCAGTGAAGGAGCAACTCTAACATTTTCAGCACTAGCAATGGCATCTATAATATAATTTATTATACATTACATTAAATATTTAATACATATCTTAAAGTAAAAAATAAAAACAATATTGAAAGAAATCAGTGACTTAAAAAGTATATTATTTACTCAAATTCTCATATAAATTTAATATAATCAAACAATTTTGAATATCAAATTTAACAATAATGTTAAATCTAATACAAACAATTAATATAATCATATAATTCATGTAAATAATTACAAAAGCCGATATGATGTAAATAACATACGGTATCAATAATGAGAAAACTTGGTTAGGTTAATCATTCTACTTACTTCCACCATATTCCCAAAAAGGTACTGACCCATCCTTTTGTGCTAGGTAAGGTGGTTTGAAGGAATACTTGTATTCAAATTTTCCATGAGGAGTTTCGGCATAAATCAAAGAAAAAGCCGAAAATGCAATAAATACTAAGAGCCACCTCACCTCGGCGGCCATCTTCATTTTGAACTGTTTAATAATGTCCGGATGGATCAACTTAAGTTATGAATTAAAAAAGAAATGATTGGAGTAACATTTAAAAAGAAAATCGGGAGAATTGAATATTATTGGTTCGTTACAAGTGACGTGTCAATTACGTGGCTACATCCACACATTACAAAACTAGTTCAAACGTCATTATTACTTTGGCACTTAAAATATTTGTTCTTTCATACAAATGTCCACCTACACATGAGATTATAGTCTTTGTTATTTTATTAAATATTATCTTTTAATTAACACCTTTTCATTCACTTATCTTAAACCTATTGAAAATTGTACAACTCTTATTTATATGTATGTATAATAAATTATATATATATATATATACTGTTATAAAATTTGAGGACGTGTCACCCAGGAGATGGTAACATGATAGATTGAAAACTGAACTTATAAAATCCTATTGTTCACCATTTGCTTTTTCAGCAATATGAAAGTTTGCCAAATTCTGTAACCAATCAAATTCAATTACATATGACTTTAATGATATTATAATATCAAATGTATTAAAACTTAATTAAAAAATAACATTTGATTCTTGTGTGTTTCTCATTATTAATTAAATACCTGAGAAAATTTCATTTGATTATAATTATTCATTTGTCTCATTATTTTTCATCATTTTTATTTACATACAATTAAATATAAAAAAAAAAACAACTTTCCTTTTGATCTTATGAAAGAACATTTTGATTATGTTCGAAATAAAAGATATTAATTAAATTATCATCAAACCTTAAATAGTTTCGTTTCTTATCATTTGTTAAGTCTATGTAAAAATAAATATATCCAAAGATGGCGTCGCTCATTGACAACTACGAACAACAATACGCTGTTTTGACAGCTGACATTACTGCAAAAATTGGTAGAATAAGAATTCAAAGTGGTAGTAAGTATATTTTGTCTGTATATAAAATAAACTTTTACTTACGTTATTCAATTAATTAACAATTATGTATATATTCTTTTTATACGTTGACATTGTTAAATAATAATCGATATCATACACATGTGACGTAATATACACAGGTGAAAAAAGAGCGTTTATTCAAGATGTTGATCGAGAAATTGAAGAGGCTCAAGAATTGGTAAGAAAAAAAAACCATTTTTTTCTTATACGTATAAACATAATGCATTAAAATGAATAGTTTTAATATCCTAACCAATCATAAAATGATATGTCACACAACAAAAGTTTGATTTAAAAAACAAACAAACTATATCATGCTCAGATTTTTTAAATCTACTTTTAACATCTATTGATTAATATTTTAAGTATGCATGTGTCATACATAAAAAATATGAATATAATTATTTTGATATGTTAACTCTCATTAGTTATTTATTACATGACATTATTGATTGTAGAATATTTCTGTATACATATATACATATACACAATACGTGTTGTTCATTATATTAATTAATAATATCACAAGAATGTGAATGTGTTGTTACTATGTTATTATGGTATAAAATATAGACCTCTATAATTAATTAAATTTCATGAAATTTATGTAGCTTGAGCAAATGGAACTGGAAGTTCGTGGGATGAGTGGAAATGCACGTGACCGTTTACGTGGTCGCGTGGAAAGTCATAGAGCAGAATTAAAACGATTAACGCAAGAATTTCATTCAGCAAAAAGACCAAAAGAAGATAGCATTGATATAGCTGTGGAAGAGTCATGGGAGAACAATGTTACAGAAGATCAAAAGAAAAGATTGTTAGATGCATCAGATAGAATAGATAGAACTGGAAGAACATTGCAGAATGGTTATCGTATGGTATTAGAGACTGAGGAAATTGGATCACAAGTTTTAAAAGATTTACATGATCAAAGAGAAACAATACAGAGAGGTAGAGGACGGGTTAGTATTATATTATATTATATTACACATTATTACATTATATTATATACTATATATATATATAAATTTCTAAAAACGTTATAGTATAATCAATAAGTTTTCTTTTCTCATTAAAAGTAAATATGGATTTATAATTTCAATAATAAATAGTTATATCTATTATTTCTAGTTACGAGACACGGATGCAGAACTAGGACGTGGATCTCGTTTGTTATCAGGGATGATTATTCGAAGTCTTCAACAAAGATTAATTTTAGTAGTAATAGCCTTAGCATTAATAATAGCTACTTGTTTTGTTCTGTATTATAGTTTTAAATCTAAAAGTTAAAAATAACAAAAAAGAAATATTCATGTGAGAAAGAAAAGAAAATGCAAAAATAGAGCTTTATGTTCAATCAGATTGATTATATATAATAAGCCATATTTATAATTAGTCAAATTTTGTTGCAAATATTATTTTTACCAAATGCGCAAACACACACATACACACAATTGTTAGATAATTATATTAAATTATAAATTATATACGCGTGCGTACGCGCACATACACGTACAAGAGTGCGCGAAATGTCGTGTCTCATTTGTAATTTTCAATTTTATCAATTGCTTATAACAATTTTGCGCGCGTAATTGTGATTTGATATTGTATCAATAGTAAATTATATATATATATTTATCTCAGAATTTCTTATATGTATATTATAAATGTATACAATAACAAAAAAAAGTATTAACAATATCTTCAAATTGAATATTTCCAAAGTTTTAAACAAGTTTGAGATAGGCACTTCAGGCACATTATCTTGAAACATAATTGAGAAAAAGCTTTTCTTATTTATTATTAATTATTATATAATTGCAACGTGATTGATAACTAGTTTAATTAGTTGAAATTTTTGATAACACTATGGACGTTGTGATTGCTATTAAATTAATTAATTAATTAATTAATCCGTACTTTATCGTTACTTTATTGCGTATTTTTTAGAAATCGTTCTACGCGTTATTCTTATCATATCCAATGAACTAATTAAAAATTATAACTAATTTTTTATCTTCTTCCTAATCTCTATAATATAATATAATAATATTTCTATAAATATATATATATATATATATATATATATATTTGGCTCTTATGTGTTTTCTTTTAAAAGCGTTGCAATATTAGTATTTAATTATCTAAAAAAAAAAACAAAAAACTTGGACATTTTGTATAAGAAAGTTTTCTTGTTATTTGAACAAAAAAAAAATAAAATAAAACTAAAAAAGGTATTGCTATAAAATGACGATGAGGTAACAATTTGTAAGCAATGATGCACACGTAACATTAACAACATTAATTTAAAAAAAAATGTAACGAAGGAAGACACTGTTAGAAAAATAAAGAAAGAAAGAGAGATAAAAGTACTAGGCGCGCCTAATAATATATAACACATTTTATTAGATATAATATTATCAAGTACCTCATTAAATTAAACGGTGCTTCTTCTGCGATGATCTATATATAATATCTGTGAGAAAATGATTGATAATAAAAGTATTAAGAATTTAACGAATATTTGATACGATATAGATGTGAATTTATTGAAGAGAATAAACGCTTCGTTTTGTTTTTCTTTTTGTTTTTTTTTTTTTTTTTTAATGTTTTTTTTAATAATTCGTTCGACAAAGTGAGATACTGCTTTTCATTAATCCGATCAGTTCAATTGTTGATAAAGATCTTCTATTTGGGGCTTGAAGTACGCTTTTAATTGAGGCCTTTTCGTTTTTAACGTTGGCGTTAGAAGACCATTTTGCATTGAAAATGGATCCGGATGTAAGTAAATATCTTTGACCTATTTTCAAAAATAATCAAATGTATCATTCGTTTGACGTTATTTTACGACATTTCGAAAAATGCATCATAAATTTTATATTACGTAGTATTGCGCGAAAATTCAAAATGATCGAATGAATTGAAACACATGGACGTGTTTAAAAATGTATTATTTATTTGAAAATAAAATTTACCTGTTCGAACGACCTCAAACCAGCTTCTTTACCCCACGAATGCATATCGTCCAATATTAACCTTTTGACTTCTGGATTCGCACAAAGAACGCTCAATGTGCCAGGTATACCATTTTCTACTGCCCAACATTTAACTACATCTACATCTGGTACAACTATGCCTACTACGCACGATTTTAAAGATTCACCATGGACGAATACTTGATGTACGTATTGACTACGTAAATAGATATTTTCTATTTTTTCAGGAACGATATATTCCCCTTGGGACAATTTAAAAATATGTTTCTTTCGATCGATTATTTTTAATGTGCCGTTCTGAAAAACAAATTACATTATATATATACGAAGAAAGTTCTGTAAGTATTATATTTCATAATAAAAGATAAAACACAAAAGGATCATTTGAAATATGAATCCTTACGGGTAACCACATGCCAACATCTCCCGTGTGATGCCATCCAAGTTCATCAACTACTTCTGCCGTTTTATCTGGATCTTTAAAATATCCAACAAATACATTGGTACCTTTAACGCAAACCTCGCCTTGATTGTTTACAGCAAAATATTCCATTTCTGGCACGTCAACTAGTTTAACGCAGCAACAGGCTACCGGTGGTCCCACGTGTTCTGGTACATGATCACCCTTGGAGTTCAAAAATTACACGTTATATCCTAATCATAATGCATTATACAAATGTATTACACAAATGGATATTTTATCAAGCCAATATATCATATCGTATCATCATCATCATCTCCGTCATCGTCATCATCATATAAACTATACACATTTATTCGATAAAATTAATTATAACATTTATGTGAAATTAATTCGCGACGATTTTTATTTATTTTTATTAAAATTCAACGTGAAAAAGAAAAAAAAACATTTAATAAACAGTTATTCATGCGATACAAAAAAAAAAAATAAAAAAAAATAAAAAATAAAATGAAAGCATCAGACAAAAAGAGAGAAAGAGAGAAAGAGATCGTTATTAACGTATTTACGTTTGCTATAACGTATGTATGCATCACTACATTTTCATCCAATGAATCCGCACAAGGTACTTTAACAGCGTTGTAACTACCGGCTGATACAGCTGTCCGACTACTATATTGATCCTCAAAGGTTTGCCAAAAATAGTGTGCTCGCGTGTATGTCACTTGATTATTTGTCAGCTCTCTTTATTCGAATAGTCTGGTCATGTTGTTGCGAAGAAACGGTTTCAGACGTTCTGTCGATTAAACAAATTTGTTCTTTTCTCTATATAAATAATATATATATATAGAAATATATGTATATACAAAATAGAGAAAAAAAAAGTAAGAAAGCGTGAACTATAGACGCATGTATGTAATAATAATTAAGGTGTGGTACACTTATAAAAAAAAAGAAAAAAAATGATATGCATGCATTTAAAGGGAAGGAAAAAAAAATCAAACAAAATAACATGTGTATACACATCGATAACGACAGAAAGCATAAATCGTGTTCCTCGCTGCTATTAACAAACTTCCGCGTGCTTAATTTTTCTTTTTTTTTTTCTGTGATTAAAGTAAGATGTATATTAAAAGTTGATGTTGTGCACACGACGAGAGATTTATTTGTGGCGCGTTTATTGACCGTCTCATTTGAATCACGAGTACCTACTTCAAATTCACAAACACGCCTCGCTGTTTGTGAATTTACTTCTGACGAATAATATCTCTCTCTCTCTATATATATATATATATTCTCGTTTACGAAATATATCTCAAAGAACGGATTGACAGCGCTGAAAGAAACAGAAAAAGAGAGAGAGAGAGAGAATAAGAAAAAAAAAAATCACACAAGTTTTTAAAAAAGAATTTCGAAACACTTAGAGAAACCTACTACGAAACGACAACTTGGCAATAAAAAGAAACAAAAAAATAAATAATTCTACGACAGAGGAAATAGAAAGAAAAAAGAAAAAACGAAAAACCAGTCGTTAAAAACATACTTCAATCATCCCCCTATACTTAGTTTCCTCTTGCAACCCAAAAAAAACCCTTGCAAGTGTTTATTACTATTAGGGTGAACCAAAAGTTCGCGCGTTTATTGTGTTACAAATTGTATAATAAACCGTATAATGGATTGTTCTTTTGTTTTTTTTTTGTAAAATTTACTAAGCAAAATGTTAATTAAAAAAAATGCACGAACCTTTTGGTTCATACTAATACGATTTTGATTAGCAAGATTCACGTTAAGTACTGAAAATAACAGAATAAGACAAAAGCGGTTCTTTTAATATATAAAATTAAAATAAAACCCCCTGTATTTTTCAGTTTTCGTTTTCGAACACATTGTAGATAGATATACCGATAAAATCATCGATCTGTATTCTTCGAACCTGTATAGTTAAAGTGATCGGTGCGCAACATTCCGTTTGACCGTATCCCTCGACGACGAGACAGCCAAGAGCGCACCTCGTAAAAGTGAGGACATTACCAGCCAATGGTGCAGAACCAACAAGCATCAGTCTCAATCTGCCACCCATAGATTCTTGAATTTTCTTGAACACCAATCTGTCCCAAACACCGTTGTTCCTAACTATACTCTTTTTTATTTCTTTCTCCTTCGAACGCATTCCAATATTAAATAACATCCTTTTGAAAAATGAATTGTGCAGTTCCGATTGTACCTACAAAAAAAAAATCGAATCAAAACGAAATAAATTGAAGAAAGAAGAAGAAACAAAATAATAATAATAATAATAAAAATGATAAAGTACGAACAAGAAAAAAATTGTCCGTACACATCACTCAGAATATTCTATATTTAGGGAAGCACCAATGTGTATGTGCGTGTAGTATGCGTGTGCATCTTCTGACTGGCTGAGTTATATCTATGTTCTTTGGCAAACGACTTAAACCGGCACGTCAAGTCCGTTGCTTCTACTACGGCGATCGATTTGACTGCTAAACGGCTTAAACTCGTGAACCTGTCAACGTGAAGGCCCATATTGACTGAACGTTACCAATTATCGACCAAAATTATGAATAAGATTTTCGAACCGGATATCCCGTTATTTTCAACCTTCGTAATATGGATCGTAACGGAAATAGATTATTTGTTTTTGCATTTACTGTTAATAAATTTATGTAATGTCAATTTTTAGATCTTCAATGTGAGGAAGCCTTATATAAACCTTAACCAAGTTCAATTTCCTTTGATTTCTCTTAGCTCGTGTCGGAGTCACGTTGCTTTTATTGTTTCATCTTAATGATTAAACTTTCTCCGAGAGTATCACAAATATTACTTTTTCGTTTATAATTATAGATCTGTTATATATATAGGGTATCTAAAATTAGATTTTATTTTTGCTCGCAATGGATGGATGGATGGACGAATGTATATGGATAGATGGATGGATGAACGAGGTGCAGAAATGAAAATAAAGTGTTACATTTAAATCATAGTATTCTGATGAATTACTCCTTGTCTTGTACGTATACATGTATATATATGTAGGTGTAGTAAAGTGTAACGTATTATTATTGTATTCTTATATTAGCTATATGCCAGGAATTCGCGTAAATCTTCTCTTTTGAACAACCCACGTAAAATCCGTGGAGAATCTAAATATTAACTCGTAGATCCGAGTAGTGAAATATTCGAATAGTAAAGAGTAGATCTATTCTAAAATCTATAGATATGTACGCACGGCCTTCGAATTTGTCGGCAAATAATTCACGCGTGTAAAAAAAAAAAAAAAATCAAAACCATGCTATTCCAAAAAAAATATCACTACACCGTAAGTTTATTTAATGTTCGTTTTTTCTCGTGACGTGAATAATAAGCCACCCTATTGCGAGATGGGGTTGAAGATTTGTATTAAACTATAAACTCGCGTTTAATATAACAAATACGTTCATATTCCATTCAATGTACGCTTTCAGGGTTACTCGATGACGCGCCGTAATTTGCTTTCCACCTGTCGTGCTTGTGTGTGCCGGAACATTTTACGCCCTGTAGCAATTGCCATTGGCACGTAGAAAGATATTGCGCAGCACCCGTTTGAAAAATGACGGAAGAGAAGAGATAGCAATACACAAAATCCTAACCGAGATATCCGTCCTACGGTAATGATCCATTTTTAATATTGTCTGATGTAAAGATATATTCTTGAGTTAACTTTTTGGAGCGAGGCTAAAGCCGATCGTTACGTAGTTCCTGATGTTAAGTGCCAAGGATTATTAGGATACCTTGTCCAACTGATGAATATTATATAAAAAAAAAAAAGAAGAAGAAGAAGAAGAAGAAGAAAACGAAGAAGCACTTTAACTACTCACTTTGTCGTACATGCGATTTAATAGTCTGGGTACCGCCGGCATTACGGTGGGTTTCAATGCTTTCATGTCTTCCGATAACCTCTTGATGTCACCTGTATAAAAACCAACTGCACCCCCAACCATATATAGACCATTCTCGCAACAACGTTCCAACATGTGTGCTAATGGTAAGAAGCTAATCATCGTGTCTTTGTTGGTAGGTTTATGATCACCCAATTGTAATAGGACTGCGCATACACCTGACATAACGTTTTGATGGGTCAACATAACTCCTTTTGGGCTACCCGTAGTACCGGAAGTATAACAAATCGTACAAAGATCCGTAACTTTTGGTGGTACTTCTGGTTGATTCTTCTGTGCACCAAGTCGTTCGACATCCTCAAACTTTAAAAGTTCAACCCCACGATTTTTCGCTCTTTGATTCGTTGCCGGTCTCGTTTCTTTAATGACGATTAATTTTCTTAAACACCTGTTCAACAACTTTTGTTAATATAAAGTTATCATATTTATTATTAATTATATTTCAATAAATTACCTGGGAGCTTTGTCGAGTAGCAGATTACATTTTTTATCATCGTCACATACTACTATACTGATATCAGCCTGATTGATAATGTAAGCGCACGCATCTGGTCCGAGTGTGTCATATAAAGGTACTATGACCAAGGAATAAGTGTAACATGCTTGTTCCGTCAAGATCCATTCGGGACAATTTTGACTGTATAGGCCCACAAGTGTTTGCTGACCAGGGACCAATCCCAATGATACGAGACCGGAACCGAAGTTCTTTGCCCTGAGTAAAGTCTCGTTGTAATGAATCCATTGGTAAGGTTTGTTGGGTCCATCTCGCCAGCCAAGACACGGACCGTTGTCTACGTATCAAAACAACAGTTGCCAACAGTACTTTACTCGTAGATTCATAAATGATAGAGTTAGAAAGATAAATGAGAGAGAAAGAGATAGAAAGAAATATAGTAATTGCCAGGTCCCGAGAAACATTCGAGGCTAGACTTTGTGGGAACGCAAGAATTTAAATTGTCACGCGATGCTATGCCTGACAAACACATCTGTTCTTCTGGCAAGAAACTCGAGTATATGGTTTCATTAAAGCTTGTACCGACAATAATGATCGGTTGTTACCAATGAGAATTGGTCGAACAAAATAATAAGATTTTCACACTTATCAACTTTGTCATGATCACTTGACACAACCACACAATAAAATATTATCTACTTTTTATAAAAGAACTTTAAAGTTATTATGTTGTTTACGAAACGACAGGTGGTCAACGTAACATCTCGTAGTGGGCGTAAGTCGTCTCTTTCTCTTTTTCTCTCTCTCCCTCTATCTTCTTAAATTTCCTTCGATGTAAAAATAAATAAGATTGAAAATAGATGACAGCAGCCTTCTAGTTAAAGGTCGTGTTAAATATTTGTTAAATATTATCAAGAAAATCGATGATAAAATAATAAGAAAAATTTGCATCAGTACATCAGAGTGCATCAGTACATTAGTGTAACAGTTTAAGTCTAGCTAAGATTCCAATGGTTTTCGCGATTGTTTACAAGATTTAATAGCAACTGTTGTTGCTTGCCAAACGCACATTCACGACCGCGTGCGAGATACGATTGAGAGAGAGAGAGAGAGAGAGAGAGAGAGAGAAAGAGAGATGATGATTATTTTAATTCAACTGTACAAAAAAAATCTTGTCACGATAATATATAGACGACGTGAAAAATCATATGTATCGTTTGAATAAAAAAAAAAAAAATAAAATAATCGAGGATTATTTGAAATCAACCTAGCTGACAGGTTGTAATAACCTACTGGATTCTTTGGCGCCTCTGCGAAATCCATCGTAAAGCGTCCTAGTGTCCTCGTGCAAGTAACTCACGAATTTGCCCTCCTTGCTGTCCTTGTAGAATCGCGAGACCCTTATCAAATCGGTACCCTGCAAAACGTCCAAGAGAATTTTCTTGACATATTCTCTAAGTAATCCCTGGGTTGTTCCGGTATTTGTTATATAACGCGAAATGGCAAGTGCAACACTAAATTTAGCCACCGTGCGTGGCACCGCAATGCCGCGTAAGAGCACTACCGATCTTGAGGATTTGAATACAAAAATTGAATAACAGGTAAGATCAAACTTCGGATCGTATATTAAAATCATCTCTCCAATTGGGGAAGATTAATTTCCATGAGAAAATTCACATGAAAAAGGAATCCAGAGTATGATATATCAGATTTAAATGAGATACCAATGGTATCTTAGAATATAAGATACCTTTTATAATAATAAGAAGAAGAAAGTAAAAGATTAAAAAAATAAAAAGGAAAATGCTGTGTGATAGGATGAGGAGACACTACACCTTGAAGGTATCAGATTGCTCGCTGAGGTCGATCGGCACGCGGATCGGCTCGTGGAAAAAACAGCCTGACGATGGCATAATTTTCCCTTCGTCACACTTATATTAATGTTTTTTTTTTAATTGGGCAATGCGTGTACGAAAACGCGTTTTACGGACGCGTTTAACGCACGCCACTAAACGCGTGATTCCTTGATGACTGCAATCTTATATATATATAATATGCACTTTCAAATGAACACCAGGTAGATAGATAGATAGATGGATAGATAGAGAGAAAGAGAATAGGTAAGTGTTCTAAAGAAAATTCGACACGCACTGATCTAACACGACGACGAACGAGCCAAGTCTTGGGAGACCAGAACGGGGCGATACGCCCGCGATGACTGAATCCCTTCTCAACTTTTCGAAACACCTAAATTTTGGCATTAACCTAGCTTGTCACGAGGTGATCTCGCTTTACTATTGCTTGGTTGCTTGCTTGCTAGCTTGCTTGGTTACTCGTTCAGTTACTTGGTTGCTTGCTTGCTTGTTTGCTTGCTTACTCTGACGAATAGGGAAGTCTAATCTTCAACAGTTTGACTTTAATACGTAAGACGCGCGCATGGCCTAATCTAACTTAGCAAACTACACTCTCTATATTTAAATATAGTGTTCCCCGTTGGTAGAGAGCGTCGTCCTCGATGAAAACCGAACTCGATGGATAATTGTCTTCTGATCGACAGTACCGATACTTTGAAGCACCCCAGTATTAACCCCTAAAACGCTTCGAATTTTAATTAATTATCATAATTCGATTTACAAAATTTTAAGTGTCAGATTTAAAATACTAAAATGACGTGTTAATTTTGATTTTAAATGCTACAGTGACAGTAATAATTACCAATAACGACCCAACGATATATTTGAAGCAGAACGCCGAAACTCGATGGTACCTAAGAGGCACACTTGGAGCATTAAGGGTTAAAAGTATCCCCACAGCCTTTTTTTAAGTCTAAACTTGCAACAAGGTTGAGGACTCTGCGTATCCGACAAAAAACTTCATTGAATTATTATTTCTTTATATTTGTTATAATAGGTTATTCCCTTATTAATAAATAAAAGAAATAAAACAATCTTATACAATTTAAAATAAAATTTCTGTGCAACATTTCTTTTGAAAAAAAGGACAACGTCCCCCTACTTTGAAAAAACTGATCGAACAACTGACGAATACTCTACCTGCCTGGATTATACAATTTTTTGGATTGCACATTTTTAAGGAAGAAAATAAAATTTGAATTCGCATCATCAAAGATCATACGTACATATATGTTGATATACGTTTATCTAGTGAATAACGTAATTCACCACTCCGCTCTATTATCTCATTTTACTGTTAAGGCGATACGACATCAACTTGATTTATTAGACATTGGACAAATTCGTCGAGAGTCGCTTATTAAGGTATAGAAAACGTTCAATACATGCAATGAATTACGAGAAATTAAATATACCTGTAAACGTCCTTTCTATTTTTTTTTTTTTTTTAAAGTTCCAAAAACATTTCAAAAAGGACGAATATAAAAAATAAAAAAACAAAACAGTTAACAACCTATAAATACGTAAATATAATATATAATAACATTTATGCATCAAAATGTGCATCAAGTGGGTGCACATTTTGCATACTTTTCTTACCGGAAGTAAAATACTTTGAGAGTCGAGAGGCCACAATGGTTTTTCCGGTTTAGGTCTGGTTGCATAATATGCAGCTACACCTGTGATGACAAGGGCTCCAGCTGCTCCACTTAAATATGGAATGTAATCTTCGAAGTTTGACTGTAACACTTGATTTTCAATTATAATACTTTTAATTACATATAATAACAAATCATTTGTTTTTTGCGTACTACTTGGTATTTCAGTAAATTCCTACTTTTTAAAAAAGGATTGTAACAGTCGGCGATACAACTGAAAATTCTCCTTACTTAAGAAATAATTTCGATCACTCAACGATTTTCTGTTTACATTTTGTTAACGATAGGATAGATGATAGCGTTTAGAATTTGAAATCTAAATTAGCCGTTTATTTTGAAAGTGGCCCAACTTCATCTAAATCTAATATTTAAAGGTGTTAAATTTATATTTCCTATTAAAATAGTGGCAATTATTAAATGAATAATATGCATTTTTTAACCATGAATGGAGTTAAGCTACTCTCAAAATAAATGGCTCCATTAATCACTTTTTCGTAATAAAGTACAAATATATATTTATAATACGCATTGCGTTATAATAATACTTGACCTAATGCAGTATTTTCCCGGCCTATGATTGCAGTCGATTTTTGTATTTGGGGTCAATTTGGGGTCATATTGAAAAAGAGAAAAAATCCATCCTTTCATCAACATTGCAGATATTACGTCAACTTAGAAATTCCAATAACTTTCATAATTGTTTTAAAATACCATTTTCTTAATATTCCCATTAATATGAAACAATTATTGAAAACAGAATAAAGGAATAAAGTAATTGCATTTAACGTTGAGATTGTTTCAAGACCTCATTTCTTTAAATATCCCATTATCGGTATCGTATTATTTCAATAAAGAAAAAAGGGTGTTTAATTGAATTACTATTTATCGTATCAAAAAAAAAAAATTATTCTAAAGGATCCTATACAATGTATTAGATCGTTCCCAAAAATTTCTTCCTTTTTTTTTGGTGATAAGTTAAACAATATTGCGTGTGTAATATTTTTTATGTTATTTTATTAAATAATACCGATTCTACTCTATTTTACCATTTTCTATACTTTCAATTATTCAACCTAAAAAATATTGTACCCGTAGAATTACTAAAAAAAAAAAGAAAAAACTTTTAGAACGACCTAATAAAAAAGAAAACAAAAAAAAATACTTAAAGAAGAAGAAATTTACTTGTTTAAATTTGCGCAAGCGCTAGTTGCAACCGTCAAACGATAAATTTGCGATATCGAGTATCGAAATTTGAAAGCACACATGTACTTGGTTTTACAATAGATTGTTTAACGTGTAAAAAAAAGCGAGAATAATTTTGTTAACAACGCAATTAATTTACTCACAACTTCTTCTTTCTACTTTCTTTGAAGTTTGATCGCGTTTGCATAGAAATAATGACGATCAATAAAAAAGAAAAACAGCTAAAGGAAAGAAAAGAAAAAGATGATAAACAACTTGGACACTTGGAATTGTATAAAACAATTTTTTCTTCGTCTTATCTTATCGATGCAAGCAAAAGAGAAAGAAGAAGAAGAAGAAGACGATGCATATAACAAAAGACGACGAGTGTGTGTGTATGTGTGTATGGTGTTGAAGAAGAATGATATTTAGACGACTGATAATAAAACGCGTGACAGATCAACGACACGTTGCTAACAATATCCAACGGTACAAAGAAAAAGTTAAACGAACGTAATTATGGATTATTTTACACACGTGTACTTAACCCTTTTCGTAAGGCGTTACAATTTCTTATGTTATTATTTAATACAAACGTGTAATGAATTTTCAATATACAATTAAATACTTACTGATGGACGTATATAATAATTATACAGCGTGGTGTGTGGCACTGTAAAAAATGCAAAACACAGAACACACCAAAATAAAAGAAACTAACAATCTTCCTGATATTCACGTTAGATAATAAACTGCAATGGACGAATGATCCTCCTTTTCTTCTTTCTCTCTCTCTTTCTCTTTCTTTTAGGAAAGGGTTTCCTGGTTTTCAGGAAGAAGGATAACGTAAAAACGTAGGAAACGTAGAAACAACTGGTTTGAACCCCACCGAATGGCACCGAAGACAATTGTTCGGGCCGGAATAAAAACTTGGGTCAGGGCCACGGCATGGCCTCCTCCTCTCTAATAAACGTGGTTTCTTTCCTCCTTTGTTTGATTTCGATCGTTCTCTAAAATTATTACAAGACGAAAGGAAGACTAAGAAGACTAGGGACTACGACGACAACGACAACGACTGCGACGTTGATGGGTTTGCGTTGCGTTGCGGATTTTCGTTAGCGTATATACCCGCCACCGTTTCTGACGTCACTATGCAGTGAATCGATGAACGAATGCCGCGAGCCGACCCTCCAGCACCCCCAAACGGTAACGACGACTATAATAACCCCGTTGCATGTGTAAACGACACGGCACGATACAACACAACAACGATGGAAAGTTGTATACTCTCTTATTACTCTCCAACCGGTTCTCAACAAGTTCGATTTTCTTTGAACAGTTGGCAGGGTAGATTTGAACCATTGATGCTCGGTCGAGTGGTTAGGTGGTCTGCAGTTGATAAGAAATTACCATCGGCACTCTTCTTCTCCTCTTCATCATACACACCATTGGTAGCTATTTGAAGAAACGACCCTTCCCAAATCGCAGACCAGACCTCGGTCAAAGGACACGTGTAACTCTCATTTCGTTATAGTATTTCATTCGTAACGGGTAGACTAGATCGATCAGAACCGAACAAATTTCATTTCGAATAATATTTTTCTTTGTATACAAATTACCATGTGTTATCCTCGTTCCTGGACATTATTGATTATCGGAATAATCGCAATTTCCTGCGCTTGGAAAACTGGATTCCTCTCGTGGCCACCGCGTTCCACCGTAAGAGCGACAGCGTCGATAAGATTAGATCTCAACTTGGCTTCTTCAGCTTTACCGATCACACGATCTCGTATCTTTAATTCTACATCATCGGTTGGAAGAACTGCTGATAAAAATCGTAAGAAATATCGTGGAACGGTATCGAGATATATGCTTAGACTTTACCATTTACGTCCTGAACATGACGTCGTCAGGGCACTCGAACCTGTTCACATTTCGGCACCTGTCACCGGTGGTGGTAGGATCATCGAATTTTCTATACCTTTCGTTAATTCTCAGGAAACTTTGGAAACTGCGGAATTACTTAGTACAGCAGGTACTATATTTAGAGTAAGAAACATGGATGAGATGATGTCGAGACAGGCACGTGAAAAAATTACAAGGTCAAGAAGAGATGAAACTTGGAGAGCTTTCAACGTAACTTCAGCGGTTGCTACAAGAAACGGAAATCTCGTGAGACTTCACGTACACGGAAGAATATCTTACAGAACGAGAAACGACGGTCCAATTTTATTATTGAGTTATAAGAAACCTAAAAGAAAGAAGAGATATCGTCGTTCTACATCCTTGAATCAGGATGATCGGGAAGAAAATATACGCTGGGATGATGACGGAATTAGACGCGTTAGACGTAAAAATTCTTGTAAAAAACGTCCGCTTTACGTTGATTTCTCTTTGATCGCTTACGATAAATGGGTTGTTGCACCCCCGGGATATGAAGCATATCAATGTGCTGGAAAGTGTTATTACCCGTTCGGCGATCATCTAAGTCCAACGAAACACGCGATAGTGCAAACTCTCGTTCATGGTGCACTTCAAGGAACCGAAGGTATTAATGGTAACAAACCTGTGGGCAGAGCATGCTGCGTTCCAACGAGATTGGCCCCCACGAGTTTACTTTATCTCGATTCTACTGGTACTTTAACCTATCAGTATGGATACGAGGATATGGTAGTTGCGGAATGTGGTTGTCGGTGATCGTGTAAATTGAATTTTTTAATTTAATTTCTCTTATACGATTCAAATTAAAAAATGAAAGACATAATAATTATTATCGTTTATACGTTATAAAAAGTATGTAATATAACTTTAAAAAGAGAGATTCTTTATATTAATAAAATATTTAAGCCTTATCTATACAAATAAAAACATGTTACGTCTTATAAATAGCATCCTTCAGTGAGCTTCTGTGAATAGTATAAAAATAATAAGATATACATACATACGCACGCATACTATCAGATCATTATTTTTAGTCTCTTCAATCTTTGTGTAAATTAAATATCCTAAGTCTATGACACCGTCAATGTATGTTAAAAGTCTTGGATTAATTTTTCAAATATAATTTCTTTTTTCTTTTTTTTTTTTAACTATACACTTTAGAGCACATTTCGTTGTTCTTTTTGTTAAGCAAGTACGATCTACCAGGAGAAAAGAGTTTTATTCTTCGTGTTTTTCTTAATCTGTGTCTACTGCCAGGTATCCTTTCAATTTTGTAAACTTGTTGTCTGATCATTGTGTCCGGTTGACTTAATCTCATGCAAAGTGAAACTTGACCGGAAAAATCAACGTCAGTCGTAAGTTCCAATTTTGGTTCCATGGTTAATGAAAATTCTGCCATACTTTGAACGAAATTCGATCGTAATTTGCTACCACCTTGAATTACGATACCAGCACTCATGTCTACCAACGAATTAGCATTTCTCGACCAAAGACTTAGTTGAATTTGTCCGGCAAGATCGAAACTCATGGCACCTTGAACATCCATTTCGGTAACAAAACCAGCAGCAAGTGGTAGATACTCGCTATGACTATGAAGTGTCGTAATCGCTTGGTAAGCTGGTGTTCTTTCGGATGCTGTTCCAGACCAAACGTGTCCCATTAATTCTCCTTGGCCGGAAAAGAATACGAAAGGTCTTATACCAACGCCTAATAAATCAATCTCCATACCAGCTGTAGCTGTTGCTTCTTCATCCGCATCGGTATTCTCATCTTGACCGGAAGAAACAAAACTACTGAGTCCACGAGCGAAAAGACCAAGAGAAAACATTGTTTCCTCTTGACCATTAGTTTCTAACACTACGTTAACTGTACCACGTTTCAATAAACCACCGTTTATTTCTTGTACGGTTACGAGAGATCCATTGCTACCCACCGATTTCAAAAAACTTCGTGAAAACGCCGTACTCAAACCTTTTTGCGCTAAAACGTTATAATTATTTATTTTCTGTTGAAGTTTATTGAAATTCTCTTTTAAATTGCGCGCAAATGTTTCATTTTTTTCCGACAATTGTTCAAAACGTTGATTCAAATATTTACGTATCTCATATGCCACATCGGTATTGGCTAAAAATTTAACGAGTTCTTCGAGTTCATCCTTTGACGGTCCGTTATCAAGAATAATATCCAAAGCAAGAGTACGAGCACTGCTATCTTTTCTAGATCCACCAATTTGATAAAGAGTTTTAAATGCTGCTTCCTTAACATCAGATGTTATGTATTCGCGGGGAAGAGAGGTCAATGCACGCCAAGCTACAACACTGATAGCACGATTCTCTTCTGTGGCGTATTTCAACAATATCGGAATTGTTTCTTTACTTCTTAAATTTCTAAAAGCGCGCAGATATTTAATCTTACAATCTTCTAATATACATGCATCTAAACCTAATTCTAAACTAACTCGTGCCTTTTCTATCACAGCTTGGTTTCCATAATGTCGTGCAATTGCTGCCGCCGTTAACGCAAACGTTTCCGAAACTTTATCATTTTGCACAATATCCTCGGATCTTTTCAAAATATCTTTGGCTATGTCAGCATCCGGAGTTGGTGACATGGACAAAGCCCAAAGATACCTCTCAGTATCATCCCCTTTCTCATCTTTCTTGAGTATCTTCATAGCAGCCTGATGTGCTGCCGGAGTCGACGCTGATCCGTAAAGATCTAAAAGTTGCGGTTTTAATTGACGATAACGTGGAACTTTTAATAATTTTTCTAATTGATCAGAAGGCGTTCGTTTGACTAGAGGTAACAGCTTCAAAAATGCTGACGCGGATTTCGTTGTTCCCAATGCCGCATTATTGAGAGACTCACGATTTTCTTCCACCGTTTGTTCAAGCTAAAATCAATTATTTGTTGTTTTTAATCTTACACACAAGGAATTTAAATAAAACGTTTTATAATTAATATAATTACCATTGGACATCGAGAATCTGGACAAGTAAATGGTTCCATTTCCAATTCGATGTTGGTTTCTCTGTAACCGGGTTGTAAAAGAGCTACCGCGTGTTTAACGGAATTGGCTTCTAATTTATCAACTTTGATATCTTTTGGTATCTGTACTAATAATCTTTTTGAGGTAACAATACTCCCTAATTCCGGTCTGGTAACCAAAGTCAACTCGTGTTCTTCTTCCTCTTTAATACTCGTTGGTAATAAATTTGATGACAATTCATAAGTAACTTTGCGAGAACTAACAAGATTTACACCGAAAATAAAATCAGGATGTTGTTTCTTTGGCGTTAAACTGTGCTTGCAATTAGATTTAGTTTTCAATATAGTTTTTGGTCCCATAGAAACGTAAGAAACGGTACAAAGACCCGAAGCATCTTTTTGACGAATCTCATCGTCCAAAGTTTTGTATTGAAAAATACTAGCAAGTCCACGTTTTAAATTCTTCGATGAAATGGATTCTGACTCGTCCAGATAAATTGCTCGAATTTCACCATTTTTCCATAAAACGATGACAGGTTTTTGAGATATTTCGTCCACTTTGGAAGAATGTTTTACGAAACCCTCCGGTTCTGGTGCTTTCCGCGATTTAATCAACAGTTGTGGTGATAAAATCTATTTAAAATAAAAAATAAAGAAAATAAAATAAATATATTTATCAATTCGTACCGTTCTATATAAGTTCATTATATAAACATTTTTAAAGATAATCTTTTTCAAAAGTTAACATGTTTTTACGTAAAAGGTTATCGATTTTAGCACGATCTCGACGTGAAACTGTATTGCTAAAAATAAACGTATGTGCATACGTTAAATTTATGTGAGAGACAGAAAAAATACTTTTGTTATAAAAAAATATATAAATTATTTTTTTCAAAAGAACAATAGAAACGTGATAATAAAACATCGTATTAAAAAGAACAATGAAATATGAAGACAATAACGTTGTATAATTTAATATATAACATTCTTTTCATTGGATGTATGAGAATCATAATTTAAAATATTAAAAAGAATTTAAAAAAAAGGAACACAATGTGACATAATAACGGGATTTTAAAATTATAATTCCACTCACACAAAAGACATGATATTATATATCATTAACCGTTATTGAAATAATGTGCATCATATTAAAATTGAATCAATTTGAAAATAACAAGCATGTCCCTACGAATCAGATACATTTTGAATGAAATCAAATATTTAAAAATTACCTCAATATTTAAAAGAAGAGATTCTGGATCGTTAGGATCCCTCCAAACTGCGGTTACATCTAGCTCGGCAGTTAATTGAAAGCCGACGTCACCAGCAGACTTGGAGGGTCCAGCCTCTCTGAACAAAACTATTGTCGTTAGCTCGTATTTGAGCCCACTTCCGACATCCCAACCTTTGGTGGCACCAGCTACCGCTAAAATTACAATGCACAATAATTTCCAATACATTTTTCTTTTCCCTTTATGTTCTCACTACGTAAACAAAATCTTCTTTTACGATCTAACTGTAAACATTGTTTACTTGTTTTATTTCTTTTTTATTACGATATTGAGACAAAACCCCGAACGAATTAAAACAAAAAGAATAATATGAAAAAAAAAGATACGTTAAATTCAAAGTTGTTTGATTAACAATTTTAAATCGGATCCTATTATACAATTTCTTTTTTTCGGAATTTTTCAATTTGAGAACAAGCTACGAGGAAAGAGCCACGAGGCAACCGATTACAAGTTTACGCGTCGTCTGCCAGATTCACCGTCGAAGAACCGCTTCATGAGTCAATGCTGGAATGAGCTAACATGTGAGAGTAATTTTATGTGTTTGTGTATATATCTGTGTATATATCTACTATGTGTATCGGTGGGACTTTGTAACTCTGGCACGAGAGCACACATATCTAACAAGTCACAGGATACACCGTTAAGTTGTGACGAAATTCTATCAATTGCTGTTACTGTTACGATAAAAAGATTGAAAATAATTTTTAAATAGATTCAATGAAAATAATAATGAAGTAGACGTGTCAACAGTAAATATATGTTTTATCTTTCTATATACGTATATAAATTACTAATACGTAAATAAATTCGTATTCTTGTGGAATTCAAACACTTACACTTTCTTTTGCATACGAGATATGAGATTATCAGAAGACAATAATATTATTGTTTATACTAACGTTCATTTACGATTTAAATCGATTATAATTCCACAAAATAAAAATTAGAATAAATTAATACAATTATTTATCATTTAATATTCATTTGTTAGACAAAATGATTATTAAAATAATTTATTATAAAAGTAAAAAGTAAATCGATCAAGTGTCTTGGTATCAAACATTTTTTAAAGATTCCGGATAGGAAAATTATCTCTTTGACCTATGTAAGGGTTCATATATCACGGTATATGTAGGACGATTTATCATTTAACTGAAACAAGCCATATTTTTTGGGCGAGATAAAATTTAAAACAAAATGTTATAGAAAAATGATGAATGATTTCACAAATGGTCGATTATATATTCACGATAATATTTTTTTCTCTAGTGCAATAATGCACCTGCTATTTGCAGTTGCAGTATTTTTCTTTCAACTTTCCTTTTTTTTTTATCTTGTTTTTTTTCAAAAATTTATATATGTTCATATCAATAATACAATGTGTCTTGCAAATGTAACAAATTAACAGATTTTATTTTACACTCTGTATTATAAATGTTATTAGATTATTAAAATGAAATAGAATTTACTACATTTTTGTTTTTTTGGTAAATAAAATACAAAATATAGACTATGAAAAATGTCAAAG